TCATTTGTGCTGCACATTCTGTGTCTCTTCACCCCAGGAATGTTGACAAATTGTCTAAGTTCCATGGGCATTCATCCTACCTGGAAAAGGAATGTCTCCATGCAAATCAGTTATGGAAAAGCCCATGTGAATCAGCATGAAAAAGTTCCACAGACCAGTGGCAGAAACTCAGGACACAGCAACCATAGCTAGTATGACCTTGAATCAGAAAGTCATGGTTATTTAGGACCATTTTGGCTATAGAAACAAAATATGTTTTCTGGAGTCGTGTCTTATCCACAAAGATAGCCAGTTTCCTAACAATAGATGTGAACAGCAAGTCATATGTACCCATTATTAACTATCATGTAAACAATAACATGGTTAAATGCTAAACTCATCCATTATCTCTTCTAGCTTTGAAATAACATAATAGCTCTGAAAAGTTTTTTACCTTTTGAAAGAAACACTGACTCTAAAGTTTATGAGGAAAAAGAAACACAAGTAACCCAGCTCCAACTAGAGAGGGAAGCAACATGATATGGGGGGGGTGTGAAAAACAAACAGCAGAATCCCTCGTGTATTCACAAAGGTTTTTTGTAGTGTTTTATAAAACCAGTATTGGAATTTAGAATCCTATACCTCAAATATTTGGTCAGAAAAGAAAGTCTGCTGAAATCTGTGCAAGGAACTGCAAGTTACAGTTTATTATTGGTCACATAGCATGTACTACATCAATAAGCTCAGCTATTTAGCAACAGCAATGTTTATCCAATGGCTTTGAAAACATAACCAGACTGTATTATTTGTCAGGAATTCAATGATGTCCCTAGTTAATAAAGCAACTTCTCCCCTTACACACACCCAGACTAAGCATGGCTTGTCAATTATTACCATAAGCATCTGTACTTAAAGCAAATGTTTAACTCCAAGTTCTGTCAAAGCACTTTTCAAAGGGATATAATTTGTGCTAAATCTGCAGAGGACTACATTTAACGGGTCATTTCAGACACGGTCTCTTAGTAGCCGGTACAATCTAGTAATGAGTGTAGAACAAACCAATGTCAAGTTTTTCTACTCAAAGAGAGACAGACACACCATGTCCCCAACCTGCTCTTTCATTCTTCTAAACGGTTTTGTTTTGTGGTGGTTTAATCTTCTTCCCATTGCTCTTCAGGTTGATCTGCCTGACTCCTCATATTTATATAAAATTAGCTTAGTAAAATTTCAGCAAAATAATCTAAACCTAAAGCTCATTTCTGCCCCCTCACATCAACTGGAATGTGACGTTACAGTAGAAGGATGTCTTCCTCCTTCCTGCCAATTTCCAGAACAGCACACTGACAATCAATCAAGTAGTTAATGCAGTCAGCAAACATTTTTGAGAGTCTACTATGTAAAGAGCATTGTTCTAGGTACTTCAGATACACAGTGAGTAAAACAAGAAAACACCCCTTTGTCAAGCGTCCACTGCAGAGGGTGGAGAAAAACAATGAGGAACTGTCATTCGTTTGGTATCATGACTTGGCATTTTCAAAAACTCTCTGGAAAATAAGGATCACAGAAAGAACCAAGAGTATTGCCTGGGACACAACTGTGGTGTCACATAGAGTGAGCAGGGAATGTTAGCAGATAATGCAATGCCACCGCAAAAGAGGCTAGGGAGTGAGTCACCTTGATACAGTTGCATTTCGTAAAACAAGAAAAGCAAGTCTGTTTGTGAGGCGGGGGATACCAGGAATATTGAAGGAAAGTAAGATTCCAAAACCAAATATTAGTAACTCCTTCAACACTTGCTTAAGCAGCATGTGTACTAAAATTGGAATGACATGGGGAAGGTTGCAGGGGGAATGTAGGGGTGACTCCCAAATTCCTAAAGCTTCGCATTCAAAGATGCATAACTGATTCACTGTTACATGGATGGCTAGTGTTTTCGTCAATCATGGTCTCTCGACTCCTAAAGCCTCACTCTGCTCCCTTGCTCTTCATGAAGACAGTAAATAACTTAATTTGCACCTTCCTTTTCTGCATCACCCCCCCACACACACACACACCTTTTATTTATTCTCACTTAATCCTTTGAATTTGGGTCCTTAGCTCTGTTGAACAGCTGGATTGTATGACCTTTAAGGACAAACATCAATATGACTTGTGAGCTTCAGGGAATTTGGGCTTCTGCTAGGCTCAGAATCCAACAATAGTTTTCATAGTCAATAGTCACCATCCCTTTGGGTCGTGTTTCATTTTCCCTAGCAAAGAGAAGCCCTGGAGGAAATGAAACCAAACAGACAAATGTATTTGTGCTCATGCTCTTGAAACAAACTTAAAGATCTAAGGCTCATCATGCAAGGACTCAGGAAATCCAAAGTGCACAGTTTCATTGGTTATTAAAATGACAGTATATGTCCTTTTCCTTCTCTCCAATTCTTCTTGGGAGTTTTGCTTCCTTAGATCCTTATATTCAAATGTAAGTGTGTGTGAACCTAAGTGACCTTGTTAGCAAAAAATCAATCAACTAGAGTTTCCTGTCATGAGAATTCACTAGCACATGCCCATGCTCATAAGCACAGTTAAACAGATGCTTTAAATGATACAGAGTAAGTAGAAAAAAGCCTGTGTGTTTCCTAGTTGTGGTTCCATACAACTGTTATGGAAGATGCTGCCACTAAGGAAAACTAGGTGAAGAGGAGATGCAAGCTTCATACTAGCTCTTAAAACAGCATGTGGCTCTCCGATTACCTTCAAATAAATAGCCAAACAAGAAATTCAGGTCAAATGTCATTGTCACCACACCACCCCCTAAGACTACCCAAGTGTGTGGATCCTTGGGAGGAGATACACACAGAAAGTACCATCTTGGGCCCACTGAACCTTGCACACTTTAAGAGTAGCACAGAACCAAGAGATGGTGGCATGCACCTTTAATGCCAGCACTCAGGAGGCAGAGGCAGAAGCAGGCACATCTCTGTGAGTTCAAGACCAGCCTGGTCTACAGAATGATTTCCAGGACAGGCTCCAAAGCTACAGAGAAACCCTGTCTAGAAAAATAAACAACAATAACAATAGAGTAGCATAGAGAAGTCATAAACATAAATGGATGATAAGTCTGGAGATAAAAGGAGTAATGAGCATGATTTCCCTGTCAACAGAAACACAGCAGCGTGCACGCAGCATTGGTATGCCTGTAGCTTGCATCTCCATTCAGTGGCTGAGCCTTTAGCCAGCCACCTGCTGCACAGTCATATGCTATTAGAAAGAATTATTTAATCCTCGAAGCTGGTTGGTCATTGTGTCAGGTTTCTGAGGCTAATGCAACCATGCTGCCCTTTTTCCATTCCACCTCTTTTCTCATCATAAGGCCTTCCCTTCCTTCCCAGAAATTCTTAAGATCATTGACTTCACTGACGGAAGTCAGGCTTCTGACCGACTAATAAATAAGTTCACCAGTGAAAAGCCTATTTTTCATTCTGTTTAATTACAGGCTTCAAAGACACTCAAAATGGAGGCTGTCTTAGGCACAAATAATACTGTAGGCTTGGTTTACTTTCCTCCTGTTGGCATTGGCACTGAGCCCTTCCTCTGCTTTGAAATTCATGGCTGTGTCTGTGTCTGCATACTAAACAGACCATGGCCACCACTGAGCCTGCTTCGCCTGTCCAGATGCAGCTCAAATAATCCAGAAGCCTTAATGGCCAGTTCAGAGCTGGAGTTTAGTTAACTAATATGGTCCATTTGTTTCCAGTATAATCTATGTATGTGATCATAAACCGGCTCCTGTGTAGTGATTTGAATTGAATTTGGTAAAACTAGAGTGAGAGTTAGGCTGTAATGTGCTTCTGAATTCTAGATACCTGACTTCAAATCTGGCCCTTTGAATATGAATGCGTAAAACACTTGAATGGCATATAGACACTGCAAAATGTACACATAGCAAACAGACAAGGAACTAACAGTAAAAAGAAGTTTCCCCTTCCACACTTCTTTTCTTAGTTTCCCATTCTCTTTTACAATCACTTTCTAACAATGTCTGCCACATTCTGTGCACATAAAAGCATATGCCACAGATTTTACATTTAAAAACACTCTAACTATGCCTTCCTTTTCGTATAAAAAATGTAACAAGATATAGGCAAAGTCCCTGCATTTGTTCCTTTTATTTAAAGATAGAACTCAACACCCTCTCTCCATTGTTCCCTGTGTTCAGCCCCAAAATTTAAAAACAAATTTCTGGAAATAGCCATCATAGCCTCCTACTATGTTGTTGCAAGGATGGAGCCTTTTTGTACTTGATCATGCTGATGGACATTTGATGTTTTAGTGACTAGCACTGCAAATATAAACTGTATGTAGGTTTAAACAATTTAAAGATCTAGAACATATTCTAGGAAGGTAAAGTCTTAGTCAAATGGTACCTTTTAATTTAGTAGATAATACCCAATAATTACTTTGTAGTATTTTTAATTATATAATGAAAGGATGTTTCTCATATATCTCACTCCTCACTCTATTTCCAAATTTTAAACCTGCTAATCTGATCATCGTAGACTGAAGGCTAAGGCCAACCCCTACTCAAAATGATCTGTAGGAACAGAAGAGCAAAGAAAGACGAGATCTGCAAAGCATAGAAAATTAAATCAGATATGAGATTCTATTTAAAAGAAGGAGGAGAAGAGAGAGAGAGAGAGGGGGGGGGAGGGGTGGGAGGAGAAAGACCTCATATGTTCCCTGGAATAAAACATGTGCTTGAACGTTGAAAGTTATTCAAACAGCCAGTTGGCTTTGCAGGTCAGCATTTAAAAGCTTTTACAAACAGTACCAGGGTTCTGACCTTAAACTCCTTGAGCTTTTAGTACCTATAAGCATGCACCTAACATTCTGTCCCTGCATGCCCTTTATTGGTCACATAGTCCATCATTAACGCGTTCTGCAGCAGGACACATAGCATAGAGCAGCTAACAAGTTCTGAGAGAATTAATCAGAGTAAGCAAACCACTATATCTGAGCAGATCATTCTTTTTAGTATGTCAAGATCCAGTCCTTTCCGTGTCACTTCCAAAATCCCAACAACAGGAAGCCTGTGCTTGCCGCTGTTCCAGGTAACCATCAATAATACTTCTGGGATCTTTCTGAGGTTCTCTGAGGGTTTGATTTGCTGAGGATTTTGTCCTTTGTGTATCTACTTCATGTGAAGGGTTCCTTTCCAGTTGTTTCTAGTATCCCATGCTTTTTATTATTTATTACTCCAAGACTGAAAAACACAACATTCATGACCTCATTCTCACTTCTTCGTTACTTAGCTTCAATGCTACAGAAATAAGTGATGCAGTGTACACTTTACTTCACTTTGCTATGCTATGCTTTTCAATGTTTTTAAACCCAGAAGCACTGTTGACACAGAGATTCTGTGGCTATATTAATTTAGAAAATGTTTAGCAACATCTTCAACTCACTGGACTCTTGTTAGTTTTTCAGTTCCAACTGCTGTAGAAGGAACCATGTTAATGTTTATGTGGTCTCTCTGTGCTAGCATCTCTTTTTAACCAATAATGGCATCCTTGTATCTCTGTTACTTGAATGCAAGGTCTACAGCATATTAATTCCTCCTTTCACTATTTCATAACAACTTGGGAGCCTGACTGCTAATGCATTGGCAGTTGAGTGGTAATAATGAGATACCATGCACTCCAGCAAGGGTACAGCAGAATAAGAAGACTAGGAACTGACTTGAAAGGGAAATGCTGGCTTAATTTGTTTTATCTGTTAAGCTAGATCCCAAATGGTTGCATCTACTATAAACAAAGTTTCTTTATAGACAGAATTTGAATGTTCATTTTCCTCTCGGTTAGTATGCAAATCTCTTTGCAGCATTCCAGCAAAAAGAGAATGCAACTCATTTTCTGTGCTTGTAAATTGTTCATTATCATGCTCTCTGATGGTCAATCCATTGCTCCATCTGACATAAATACTAGATGCTGAAAAAGGCACATTTGGGATCGGGGGGCGAACACACTTCCCATACAAAATTCAATAGACTATCACCTGAAATTTTGTACCATCTTACTTGTACATATATTTATATATGATAGTCTGGGAAAGTAAATGCTTTGACTGGCCTCACCAACCCCCAGGACAATGATGTTTGAAAAGTCTTCTCATTGGCCAAAGGAGTCTCAATTCATAGAGCCAAAGTAGCACACAGACCCAGTCTCCAGAAAGAACCATCAGTTTTCTATAGCCTCTAAAGTTCTACACTGAGAACTAAGATAATTTTGTTAGATTGCTTAGGGTTTGGGCCTTTCAAAATTATTTCCTTTTCCTTTTGATAAAGAGAAAATTTTATTTTATATGTTTTTCCCAAACATGGATGTCATGAGACCATAAACTGATGTTAGTGATTAAAGTCACCCCTTTCATATATATATTTAACTTCCATCAATGCCAACAGGATTGACTTCTGCTGCCCCTAACTGGGGAAAGTTTTTCCTTTGCATGAAAATAATACTCAAATCATGACACTCCTACCTCCCACTAAACTATGAAAACAAATTCAAGAGTCCCAGTGGTTCTCCAGACCAAGCAAAATCTACAGAGAAAACAAAGTACTGTTCAGATCCATCCCTTGTGGTATGCAGAGGAATTTCAGTGGATCTCCTGCTCTTGCTGAGTTTAAGAATCTACCCAATTAAAATTCTGTGTACCAACAATAAACTATGCTGCAAAGCTTTTAATTTTAAAAAAAGAAAGAACGATGTAAAATCACACTGTCTCCAGGCACTGCTTTCATTAAAGGATTAGACTGATAAAATGTTTGGATTTTATTGTTCTAAATATGTGTTTCAGCTGGTGCTCTCAGATGTATCCTGTGAAGAAAATGAAACGTAAGTAGATAACAAGATATTCCATGTCTTTATTTAGCATTTGAAAAATTCAAAGAATCAGACTCTATTCATTTGAAAAGCCCCAAAGGTAAAAAAAATGTAAAAAAAAAATCATGAATTCTAAAAAACCAGGAAATGTTATTGCCGTTATGATCACTGATGAATAAATAAGGAGCTATCTCCAGGAGTTTAGGCTCTTGGGTCCTCCCCTCATGAGGTTCCCATGATTGTTAGGCCACAAAAAATTATGGTTTCCTCTTCTCTTGCCCCCACACTCATAAGTATGCCAATTTCAAGGAACGGTTTCAAAACAGTTCATTTTCAAATACAACCAATGAACCCAAATTTTATCCAGTGTTATGTGTGCATTCCAAAGGGCATCAGATGCAAATTATGTGAATAATTGATTCATTTCCTTACTTTTTGAGACCTAATGGTTCTCAGAATTCTATTCAGGAGATGAGGAGGTGCCGTTAATAATGCTGATGATGATGAATGGGAACTGTAATGCAGAGTGACTGAGCACAAGTGTCAAAAAAGCACTTCCGCCAAGTGCTGCTTTCTGGGTGCAGCACTCTGCCAGCCAGCTGTTTTCAATTATCATTGCCTCATACTCTCAAAGCCCTGTCTGTGGGCATTGCCTCTAAAGCAAGAGATGGGGCCAAGAGGGAGTTGTCCTTAGCCCTGGAATCATTCACTGGTGCAGATGATCTTGCTGACAGTGTGTGCAACTCTTTCAGTGTTTGTATGCCCTCCCGATGCAGTTTCTTTACATTAATTTTTGGATCTACTGTTGTGCTCTGGCTTCTGCTGCTTGACACTAAGCAGTTTTCTATAATATTTACTTGACTCTGATCTTCAAGGCTGCCCACATCTTGCCTCCTTATTACCTCCCTTTGACCCAGAATAATAGACTCCTACTACTGGGGAGAGCCTTCAATGTTGACTCTTCTCTGCAGTCAATACAAGGAGGGATGGTGACGGGAAGCCTATAGACTGCCTTACAGCTTCTTAGCCACTACTTTCCCTTTATATGGAATATGCTGAGATGAGAGAGCTAATCAGTCCACAGCCCAGTTTTAACTGAGGCTTAAGGATGAGCTGTCTTTGGTAAGCCATTTTACTTCTCAGCATCAGTTATATTTACCCTTGCTTATTTTTTGTTGAGTAAACTGCCTCAATTAACATTCAAAATAGCGGGGAAGAAAGGGAAAAAAGACAAGGGAATGGCTGGTATTCTGGGGAAATAATATAAAAGAAGCAAATCTATTGACGATAGAAACCATACCTCTCAACAGGAAGTGATAGCTG